GCCGGTCTCAAAAAGGACAAAAAAAAAAAAAACCCCAAAAAACCATTCTACTCTATGGAGGAAGATCAATTGTCCCTGATTCACGAAATGGCCCAAAGCAGGGACAATGAAGAACAGATTTAGATTAGCACTCTGCTCTGGAGAATGGAATGTCAAGGAAAGGAAACCTTGCAACCCAGGCCTTCTCTCAAGAAAGCAGAGCTTCTTTTTGTTCTGCCTTGAGTTAAAGGGCCTTTTCTGCCCCACTTCTGAAGGGTGTGAAACCATCCACGCAGTTATAAGCTACGTGGCCATTCACATCAAGACAGTCCAAAGAGAAATCATTCATTCATTCATATATCAAATGAATGAATCTAAGTAACTGCACCAGAGACAAAACTACGTATTCTGCTTATTTGGTGGGGGGTGGGAAGGGGGTGGGGTGGAGAGATGTACAGGTAGCAGTGCAGGAGCAGGTGAAAGCCTTGCACCTAAATCTTGAGGCGAGATCTCTATCAACTTGAGGATCAAGTCCAAACTCCTCAACACAACAAACGAAGACGGCCCTTTGTGATATGGCCTCCAACTCCTAACGTAGCCTCACTCTTCTCCTCCCCAGCTCCCAGCCTCCCCCCAAACTGCCTTCCTCCACCCTCTTTCCTCCTCTTCCTCCCCCAGCTGACTCTCCTCATCCTTTCTGAGGTAGTTCCAGCCACACCTCCTCCAGGAAGCCTTCTCTGCCACTCCAGGTGGGCGTCCTTTCTCCCTGCTCTCCAGCACCCTAGGGGCTCCTTAATGGTGTGGACACTGGCTTGGAGGACAGTCCCCCAATGCCCAGCACAGGAAATGTTCAATGTCTGTGGAATGAATCATGATGGTGGTAAACTCAGGGACATCGTCTTTACCAGCTGAAGTCACAGAATAAGAGGAAATGTGAAGCCTCTCAACAGCCTCCTCCTCACCGCCCAGGAGCCACGTTGGGGGATGGGGAATGACCACTTCAGATCTGCGCATTCTTCCTGGGTGAGTTTTATGGGGTTCCCTGCCTCAGAGGGGCATTGGGAAGAAAAATGGGGTGATATTTATGAAGCGCCACCTCAGATATGACATGCTATGTGAGGGCCAATAATTAACTTGGAAGGCTGCTACTTGTGTGCAGCATTTGGACACTGTGCCAGGCTGCCACTGCTGCCTCTGCTTACAAAGTAAGCCATTCTGCCTCGATGCTTAGCGTTTTCACTGTGCACAAAGCCACAGCAAGGGGGTGCATTTCCTAGAGGAAAGTCTGCTGCAGGAATCTGGAGGATGAATCTTGTCCCATCATGAGAAGTACACAGCTGAAGGCACTGGCGGGGTGATGTTCAATAGGGGATGCTGGGGCACACGGAGGCAGCTTGGGGCCATGATTAACT